CGTCCTCGCCTTCCCAGCGGTCCCCGCCGGCGGTGCCACCGCCCCCGACCTTCCGCACCGGGTCTTCCACGGAGAACGTGTCCGCGTCTACGGAAGAGAGCGAGCCGCGTTAATGCCTGCCTGGGCGGGGGCCAGCGCCAGCCCAGGCTCTGCCCCCGGAACTTCTCCTCACCCCAGGAGTCGGAGTCCCCCGCCGCTGCCGCCGCCGCCGCCATCTCGCGCCGGTGTGAGCGTGTGTGAGGGGAGAGAGAGCGAGGAGTTACCACGGCGGAGGTGAGTCACTCGATCTGCTCTCGTTAGCCCGCGCAGGGCAGGCTGGGACCGTGGCTGACTGAACGCCCGGATCCAGGCCCCGCCCCTCTGGCAGCGGCGGCGGCGACGCGCGCACGGGCCGAAAGGGGGCGTGGAATAAGGTGGGAGAGGCGGAGCCTCCAGTGCCCCACCACGCGGGGAGGTCCTAGGGGCTAGTGGGTGGAGGTAGAGGTAGCGGCTAGGAGACGGCCACCCTACCCTGGGCCTGGAGAGGACGTGTAAGTGCAGGAAAGTTAGCAGGGCGGTCCCTTGCCTGGCGCTCGGCTAACGCCTGTCCTCGACACTCTTGTTCTGCCAACCTCAGCCCGGCCCTGGTCGGTGGGGTGCGCCCTCCCTCTGGTCAGCATGGATCGCCACCCGTGGCTGCTGGCTGATACCAAGGAGACCCCCAGCCTCTCCACGCGGCACACAGAAGTGGGCTCTGCACGCCACGCCTGCCTATGGGGGCGGTGGACTGGCCTCCCCGACCCCGGGAGGGCGCAGTCGCACGCTCGGCCAGGCAGGATCCTCTGGAGCCTGGGTGCGCAGGGCGCCCGGGAAGGAGCGAGTAGAGAGGGCCGAGTTCCTGGCAGCCTTCCCAGCCAGGGTGCTCAGAGTCAACTCCTGGCACGTTTGCTTCGAGTTAGTCACGAAGGGATCGGAGAAAGCCCCAGTGTTCAAGGCTTTTCCCTTCCTGTGAGCCTCTTGAAGCCAATACATGATACATTCTTTCGCAGAATTATTTCGGAAGTTGGTCTGCGCTTAGCTTAAACTCTAGCTTTGTCCTCAAGGAGCGCACAATCAAGTATCAAAAATACACATGTAAACAAATCTCGGCGCAGTGCGATGACTGCAACAAAAAGAAGCATTGTGAGGTTAAATGTAAAATGGTAACATTAACGGCGGGCAAAGGGGAGAGCAGTAGGATGCGTGAAAGGCTTCCTGAGGGTAAACGCTGAGGAGATTAGTTTTACAGACCAAGTGAAATTTGCTCCAGTGTTTTTTCCGTAGAATGAATCGTGTGGTCCCTCATCTGACTGAATGGCGCGATCAGAGATGAACAGAACAGGTAAACTGATCATTAGTAAAGGGCTTAAGATGGGCTAAGCTGCACTCTGCCCTTTGGACCGCTAGGCTCCACTACAGGATTTTAAGAAGCGAGCAATTTCGGATATTCTTGTTTGTTTTTTATTGTTTTCTTAATTTATTTTCGAATATGTAGCACACGTGCTTTGTACAACATTCAACTTATAAAAGGGTACATGCAATGATCAGCCATTCTGTTCTTTGTAGTGGCAACCATTGTTACCCATTTCGTGTGTATCTTCAGAGAGTCTACACATAGTACACATTTTGTAAGCATGGTCCTCAAAAGCTACTCTGCAGACCACTTATTCAAAGTTTCTATTTGATCAGCAGCAACACTTGAGAGCTTAATAGAACTGCAGAATCTCAGGCCCTATCCCAGACCTATTGAATCAGAATCTGCCTTTTAACAAGATCCTCAGATGACATTTAAGTGTGAGAGGCAGTGCTATACAGGCATCAATTTTTATAAAGAGGAATTGGAAGGAGGCAAAACAGAAGGCAAGGAAAGGCTAGAATGTAAGGTCCTTAGGGCACAATCTACCTTTTATTCACAGTTGCCTGTCTAGTATTTGGCACAGTATGTAATACATAAGTAAATATTATATGAATTAATTGAGAACACAACCTTAGAGTAAGGCAACGGCAACAGAGAGGAAGGACAAATCTGAGAAATATGTAAGGGTCAAAATCAACAGAATTTAGTGACTGTGATGGTTAATTTTATGGGTCAACTTGGCTAGGCCATGATACCCAGTTTTTGGTCAAACGCTAGTCTAGTTGTTGCTGTGAATGCATTTTTTGTTTGTGATTAACCTTTAAATCATCATGCTTTGAGTAAGGCAGATTACCCTCCATAATGTGGATGGTTCTCATCCAGTCAATTGAAGGCATTAAGAAAACACACCTGGATTCAATCCTCAGTACCTTCCTTGAAAAATAAATAAACCTAATTACCTCCCACCCTCCAAATTAAAAAAGAAAAGAAAACACAGAGGAAAAAGGAATTCTGCTGTCTTTGGACTCTGTAGCATCAGCTCTTCCCTGGGTCTCCAGCCTGCTGACCTGCCTTGCAGATTTCAGACTAGTCAGCTCCCACAATTATGTGAGCCAATTTATTTAAGTAAGTCTCTTTCTCTCACTCTCTACACATATCCTATTCATTCTTTTTCTCTGAATAACCCTGACTAATACAGTGACTGACTGGATATAGTGGAGGAGGGGAAGGGAGCAGTAGAGAATGATGCCTTTGGAGACTGAGTGTAGGTAACATCCATCTATAGGTGTCCAAGTCAAAAACCTGGGAGGTATCCCTGCTTTCTTCCTCTTACTTACCCCTTAAATTCAATCCATCACCAACGTCTGTGATTTCTTCCAATATTAAACCCATTTAATTACCCCCATGTCTCTTGCTACCACCTTCATCCAAGTTTCTCTAGATTGTTTTACTATAATAACCTTCCAGTTGGCTTTCCTTTTCTATGCACCAGGCCATTTGCTTATTTAAAAATGTAAATCAGATCATGACACCCCTTCCTCCAGGATGAAATCCCTTTAGTAGCTTCTTGGTGTTTTCTGTTTTGGGTTTTTTGTTGTTTTTTTTTTGGATTAAAATTCAACTCCTTACTATGGCCTACAATGCTCTGCATAGTCTGACTCCTACCTCCCACCAACCCTCTTCTATGTCCTTCTCTCTCATTAACATCATTGCTACGGGCTCTCTGAGGCTACTAAGTCTTTTCCTATTTTTGGACTTTGTACTTGCTGTTCTTTCTGCTTACAGTGCTCTTTCCACACCTCTTTACATGGTTGGCTTTTTTTCCTCCTTCAACTTAAAATTCAAATGTTACCTTTGCAGAAAGCTCTTCTGGGGTCTCTCTCCAGCAAGGAACCTCCCCCAGTTACTCTTTCTCATCATTCTGTTTTTGTCATAGCATTTATCACAATCTCTAGTGACCTTGTTTACTTATTCAGTATCTGTTTGCAGCACAGGGACCTTGTCTGTGTTTTTGCCTCTGTATTCCTAGTGTCTGACGTGGAGTAAATGTTCAATAAATGTTTCCAAAAATGACAGAATAGTGCCTCTCATCATAATAAGGAATGAGGATAAATAAAATTTTGGCCACACAGATCTTGTCCCTCATTCTTGTGGGACATCCAAATAGAAATGTCTAGTACACATTTGGAATTAGAGAGGTCTTAGCTACAGATAGAGGATTAGGAGTTATTTGATGATAGTAGTAGATGGAGTCCTGTAAAAGTAGAGGCCATCTGAAGATAGGATAGAATGAGAAGAAACCTTGCAGGACGTCAACATTTAGCCAAAGGGAAAAGGTACAGAAGGGATAGTAAGTTTAAAAAAAAATCGTTTTGTATCCTTCCAATTATACCACATTTCAGGGGTTTTTTTAATATAAAATTTAAAATACTATGAAATATGGTTTATTTGAAAGTTCACTGTTGGAAGTCAGGGGATCTGGGTTCTAGTCATTCAAATGATCAGATTATACTGAATTGAACACTGTGCACTTCTGGTGAGGGGTGGGGAAAGCTGACAGTGATTCCTCCTTTTCTGGAATTTGACCTTGTACACAAGAATAGGTGGGCTCCCCAAGCCACGTTGACTCCCTAGAGCTGATTTGGGAAGGGGGTTCAGAAACAGATTAACTATGAAGCCAATGAAGCTGTAGTTTCAGGGCCCCTCATTGCATAGGCCTCTTCTGTTCTTCAAGAAAGCCCTCCAAATTATATATGTATAAAATCTGGGTCTGCCCCTAGGTGGGGGTATAAGTAACCCAGAGGAACCATCAAAGTCTCTGCTAGTCTCCAAAGATGGCCCTTCAATGAATAGTATCCAAGCCTTTATGTAATTTTTCTCTTTTTTATTATAAGCTAGCCCTATGATTCATTTTTGACCAGTAGAATAGGACAGAAGTGACACCCACGGCTAGGTAACGGAGTCATCTGTATTAACTTGCCCGAAGAAGTTCTAAGACAATGTATCTTCAAATAAACAAACAAAAAATGTTAACAGAAAGAAGGTGAAAATATAGGAAAGGTGAAACCAAAGAACAAGATTTTGATAGTCCCCAGAGAAAAGGCTAAGCTGACCTGCAGACTTCTGGCAACCATCTAGTAGAGATGAAGGTGAGGGCATCCTGCTGACTTGATTTTAACCATTATGATTCTCTTTCAGCAGATGTTCTCGCTAGTTTTGCCATTACCAAGCAGGCATCTGATTGTGATTTAGTTTCACAGGGAGGAAACCTGCTGACAGCGAATGAATGAAATTGAAATTTGGCCTAGAAATTAATGTTTTTTGAGTTTAATTAGTGTGAACCACTGAATCTCATAAATTCTGAGTTGCACATTCAAAATCAATTTGTGGACTTGTAAGTCCAAACTTTGAGATGTGAACTCATTCATTCTTTCATTTATTCAATAAATAATTGAGTGCCTACCCTGTACCAAATTCTAAATTCTGGGGATATTAACTACAAAGTATTAAATCACATGCGATAGCTCTCTCTCTCCCCCTTGCCTTCTAAGATGGCCCACACTGTATGGAGAGTGTATCTACTTTTACTTTAAACTGAACAGCCCTACACCTCTCAGTCTCTCTTCCTCTCGAAACTTTTGAGATGGACTGTGTATCTCCTAAGCTGCTCTCCCTTCTGAGTGAGACAGCTCGCACTCTATGGAGTGTGTATCTCCCTAATAAACTGAATTTCACTTTAAAATAAATAAATAAAATGAACCATATGCAACTGAAAATGAGGCATGGGTTGGAGGTGCTATGGAAAAATACATAGGGTATGTGTATGCTGCATTGATAAACGTTTGAGTAAAAATTTGCAGTATTGTACATACTGCTTTCTAAAATAAGGAAGCTGGGAAACAACTGTCTAGAACTATGTGCTGGGGACTTCATTTACTCCTTAAAATTAACCTGTAAC